TTGTCTTGTGAGCTGTCGTCACGTTAATGTTTACAAATCGTAGACGGATTTAGTGAAGGCTATTAGGGGCAGATAATTTAGTTTGAAACGATTTTAAACTTACATGAGGTAACTAAGAGGAGGCTGCTTTCACGGGGGGGGGGGGGGGGGGTGTAGGGTAGGGGTTGGGGGAAAGGGGGAGGGGGGTTAGTGTGTTAAAGCAAATATTTTCAATGGCAGCATTGGTACTGTCGAATTCACAAATTATGAATTACTGAAAAGTAGAAAATAAAACAACTAAATAGCGGCGTATGTTACGCCGCGGGGCGGCTCGTATATATATAATGCTCTTCTGGGAGCCGTTAGAAAACAAGCTGCAAGCGCCTCCTTGCACTCCCCTCTCTCTCTATCACTATCACTACCACCCCCACCCAACCCCACATTGTCTGGTGAGTTGTGGTCACGCTAAATGTTTACAAAGCTAAATGTTTACAAATCATAGAGCCGTAGAGCCGGGTTTCTATTAGGGGCAGATAATTTAGTTCGATTTTAAACTTACAGGAGGTAACTAAGAAATAACTAAGAGGAGGCTGCTTTCACGGGGGGGGGGGGGGGGGTGTAGGGTCGGGGTTAGGGGAAAGGGGGGGGGGTAGTGTTTTAAAGCAAATATCTTCAGTGGCAGCATTGGTACTGTCGAATTCACAAATTATGAATTACTGAAAAGTAGAAAATAAAACAACTAAATAGCGGCGTATGATACGCTGCTGGTCGGCTCGTATATAATTTGACTTTATTTTGTACTCGCCCATTGCCAGATTATCTATAAATATATACATATATATACATATATATATATATATATATATATATATATATATATATATATATATATATACATATATGTACTATGATTCCACCACTCCCTCTTTTCCCCACCCGTTCATTTATAATGATCACTAATGCAAATTTTCGCTTTTTCCCAAGACTTGTTAAAGAAACACTCGACTGTTTAAAAGCAAAACAACCCTCGTGTGATAGCAGTTTTAAGAGCCAATTGGACATGGCATTTTCACAAGCAAACATGATGTTCGCCAATTGTAAGTACACACTAATACCACTTTCACAGGGATCTCGTTACAAATGCACCGAAACACAATTTCATATGAGTGTTTGTATTACAATATTGCTGCGAGCTGTTTTAGGATCTCGATACCTCCTAAATTCAATAATGTTGCGTCTTTAAGTTCGCTTTGCGGTCTGATAATCCATGGGGCAGATGAAGCAGAGATTATTGATTTCTCTGACCAGTGGCGTAGCCAGGATCGTCTCAAAGGGGGGGGGGGGGGTTCCAATTTTTACCCGTTGATAAACTATCGATTTGCACCCCCCCCCCCCCTCAGACTACTTTTGATTTGCACCCCCCCCCCCCCCCCCTCAAACTTTCGATTTGCACCCCCCCAAACTTTCGATTTGCACCCCCGCTCATACTTTAAATATATACCGAGGGGTCTATGGGGGTTATGACCCCCTCCCCTACCCCCCCTGCCTACGCCACTGTCTCTGACCTCTGTATGTTAAGAGCCTAGGCCACGCAGTTAACTTTACCTGACTCGAATCAGTTTATCTGCATGGCTGGTTAAATGCTCCCAGTTGATCGAGACCGAGATCCGAACTTGAGATAGTCAGGTTTGTATTCCAGTGCTCTACTACCACAACCACACAATTACAGTTTTAACTACGCCCACCTATACAATATACCAGGAAGAGAAAAGTCGAGTTTGAACAACTAAAAATGCGTGTCTGTTTTTTCTGTAGCAAAAATATTATAGATAAAAAGGAAAAAACCCCACTTAGATCTAAAGAAAATTGTGGAGCTGTAGAGTTGGCTGAATTTGTAGGTGATAATACTACACACAGCTGACCAATGATTGACTATATACAGAATTGTTGGCTTATAAACAATAAATAAATAAATAAATATATATATATATATATATATATATATATATATATATATATATATATATATATATATATATATCACTATACACATATCATTTTATTTATCGCTATATAAATGTCACTATATATATATATATATACATAAAAAAATATATATATATATATATATATATATATATATATATATATATATATATCACTATACACATATCATTTTATATATCGCTATATAAATGTCACTTTATATATATATATATATATATATGTAACGAGTCCCCGAGTCTATCCTGCCGACAACGCCAAATGTAACGAGTCTCTGGCTACCCTGCCGACAACGCCAAATGTGACCTTCCCGAGTCTAACCACTCATTCCACACAACATTGCCCACAGCATAGATACTCGAAGATGCAGGTTCATTATTGATCCTTTTATTACATGAATCAAAGAATGTTTCACAATAATATAATGAATCAAGAGAGATGTTTCACAATAATAGTCTGAATCAACGGACCCCCAACAGTCCTCACTAGGCTTCATCTAACTGAATACACATGTCTATCGTCCTTCTTAACACAATACGGCTAACCCGTTCAATAACCAACTTGATTCTGCCACACTGACTGACTGATCGAGAGCGAGCGAGAGAGAGAGCCAGAACCCAGCCGTCGCCTCCTATATATCCCCTTCATAATCGTACTCATATTCGGTCCTATCATAATCGTAATCGTAATCGTTGTATCAGAATGTTAATTACGCCGCTTCTGTTGTACAGTCCGATTTAATAAGCCATCTGCATCCTGTCACATCAAAGTTGACAGACCGTCTTTCGTATCGCTTCCCGAGATACTACGCCTTGGCTTTCTGATCGTTATCAGCCACCACCTGTGTTATTACATCAGTCGTGTCAAAGTTGACAGCGCTGTACCGCGTTCTTATGTCTGGTAACTTCCCCTAGTTACATCCACCCCTGCCTTTTTTTGTGTGTTATCAACCACAAACAACGCTTGGCAGGTGCAGTCCTTCAAAGTCAATCGCACCACCGTAAAAAAAATCCATTGTTCCACTCCCTGTCAATGTCGTCACACTCGTATAAGATTGACCGTTATCCCTATTTCACATATCAAATGTGTCTACATCATCTTCCTCAGACACAAAACAGTTCTAGAATTCACATCCACCTTTTTTCGTTTGGTGCCTTCACCAGTTCACTTTTATGACTTTTTGAACAGTCTGTTTTCATACCAGCGCGACCATGAAAGAATTGATGGTTGCTGACAAAAAATTTCGTATTCTTTCTGTTTCTCAAACTTCTCCGCGGACCACTTATCTGATGGTCTACTGTCTCTCTGCCTTTGGAGGGACCGGGATCCTCCTTGTTGCCGGTATCCTCCCCTTGTGTATCGCTGTTACGCTGTTGATGGTGACATGGTTCCGGGATGGGTATGTGAATTTCCGTTATAGTTTCCGGTTCCCTAATTGTCTTGGGTTTCCTTGTGTGTAACTGCTCTTCTTGACTATGACAATATTTCTTTAATTGAGCAATATTCGCCCACCGATCCGGTTTGGTGTGATCGATGGGTCTTATCTTAAAGGGGCCACCTGCTACTTTAGGCATCTCCACGACTTGCCATATCTCCTGTCCCCAGAGGTCGTGGATTTTGTTTCTGCCTAACGGGTGGCTACGCAGTAATACCCTGTCGTTCAGTTTGAGTGACGGGTCCTTTGTCTGTACCGGCGGTTCCCTTCGCCGTGCTTCATGTTCTAGTCTTTCCTGTACTACCCTGTACATTTCTCTAATTCGTCTCATATGTTCATTCACATATTCCAGTGCAGTGTATGAGCCAGTCATACTCTCCTTTTTTCCTAGGAACAAGTCAAGGGGGAGTCGAGCCTCCCGTCCGAACAGCAACATGTGTGGCGAAAAGCCGGTTGTGGCATGGGGGGTGCAGTTGTATAGATATACCAACTCTGGGAGAAAATCAGGCCAACGTTTTTTCTGTTCAGGTTCTAGAGTACGCAGCAAATCATGCATGCTGCGGTTGAACCGCTCGCACTGTCCGTTTCCTTTCGGATTAAATGTGGTTGTTCTAGATTTGTTGATCCCGTAGTGGCTGCACAGTTGGTTAATTACTTCTGACTCGAAGGCCCTTCCTTGGTCAGAGTGTAATTGTCTTGGTATGCCATATTTGATGAACCAATGTTCTATTAAGACCTTTGCCACTGTTTTGGCGGTCTGATCTCGTGTGGGCACCGCCACAGTCCATTTGGTGAAAACATCAGTCATTACCAACACATGTTCCGTCCCATCCGATGATTGCTCCAACGACGTAAAGTCCATAGCCACAATCTCTAGTGGTTTTGTCGCTAATAGGTGTCCCGATGGCTGTCTCATTTTGACAACTGGCATTTTCGCATGCTGACACCTCACACAAGCCTCACAATGGCGTTTGACCTCCATTTCCATATTGGGCCAGTAACACCTTCGTCGTAATATTTTGTGCGTCCTGTCCTGACCCTGGTGTCCTGCCCTGTCATGTGCCAACCTTAGCACTTCTTCTCGTAATTGTCCAGGCACCACCACCTGGTGTATTGTCCCATCAATTTGGTCATGAATTCTCCGCATGAGAACACCATCCTGTATACTGAGACGGTCCCACTGACTCAGTATTTTCTTTGTTTCTCGACCAAATTGTTCTCTTTCCCTTCGTCCTGGGAATTTTTGTTCCTGGACGTGTTTCAACAGCGGCTGTAAGCCACTATCCGTTCTCTGGGCATCTCTTATCTCTTTGTGATTAAGGAAACTAAAATCACCAATGTCCATATGTCCGGGCTCTGTGGAAATGTGCTCCACCCCGGTCTGTCCGTTCTGCCTCACTTGCGCCCCGTGAGGGATATCTGTTGACGCTCTGACCTCACATATTCCTGTCAGCGTTTCTTCCTCATCGCCCGGTCTCTCGTAAGGATTCCTTGATAAGGCGTCCGCATTGCCATTGGACCGCCCCGGGCGATATTTTATCTCTAGGTCAAAGAGTGCCAATTCTGCTGCCCATCGCTGTTCGATGGATCCCAACTTTGCTGTCTTTAGGTGACTCAAGGGGTTATTGTCAGTGTATACCACACATTTAGCACCTAATAGATAGTCCCTGAATTTTTCCGTCACAGCCCATTTTAATGTCAAAAGTTCTAGTTTCATGGCGCTGTAATTTGTCATGTTCTTCTCTGATTCCTTCAGAGCTCGACTGGCATAAGCAATAACCCTGAAGCCTTGCTTTTGTTGTTGTGATAGCACAGCTCCCAGACCTTTAGAGCTGGCGTCAATTTCTAGCCGAAATGGTTTGTCAAAGTCTGCGTATCCTAATATCGGCGCCTCTGTCAAAGCCTTTTTCAATAGCTTAAACGAGTTCAGGCATTCCTCAGTCCATAATTCACCTATCAGTTGTGTTTTACCTTTCTTTTTCTCCTTACTGTGTTTCTTTGTCATTTTGTTTACCAAGTCATGCAATGGTGCGGCAATTTTTGCAAAACCAGGCACAAATTTTCTATGATAGGAAGCAAAGCCCAAGAATGATCTGACCTCTACCGTAGTTGTTGGCTGTTTCCATTCTTTAACAGCTGCAATTTTATCTGGGTCAGTGGCGATGCCATCCGACGAAATCACATAACCCAAAAAATGTACCTATTTCAGACCGAAGCAGCATTTGTCTGGGTTCAGCTTTACTCCTATCTCCCTAAGACGGAGAAACACTTGTTCTAATCTTTCTAGATGGTCCTCCCAAGTTTTTGAATAAACTAGTATATCATCCAAGTACACCAACATTATTTGAAATAGAAAGTCACTCATAGCACTCTGCATTACTCGCTGGAATGTAGCAGGTGCATTAGTTAGACCAAACGGCATACGGGTCCACTCGTACAGTCCCAGTGGAGAAATAAATGCAGTCTTATGTTGATCGTTGGGGTGCATGGCCACTTGGTGGTAGCCACTAGCCAAATCCAAGGTAGAAAAAAATCTTGCTCCCCCCAACGCATCAAGACATTCATCAATACGAGGCAAGGGGAATGCATCCCTTCTTGTGATATTGTTCAATTTCCGGTAATCACAACACAGTCTTATCTCCCCTGACTTCTTTTTTACCACTACTATCGGTGCCGCATACGGGCTAGTGCTGGTTGTAATAATTCCCTTTTTTAGTAGATCGTTCAGGTGTGCTTTCACCGCAGAGTAGTGACTTGGTGGTAATCTTCGATAAGGTTGCGCCACCGGCTTGTCTTGTAGTAAGGGTATCTGGTGTTTTATTACTTCCGTGTAACCCAAATCACCCTCGTACGAGGCAAATATATCCCTGTACTTATTCAACAATTCATTTAGTTTTGGGTCCTCGGTTTCCGGGAATGTATATGATCGGCCATCCTCTTTCTTCACCTCGGCCGTCACATTGACCGACCTAATTGTTACTTCATTACTGCTGGTATTGCTCAGTTTGATGCACTGTGCCGACCTTTGTACCTCGACGTTCTGTGGTACTCCTACCAGAGTATTAGGCGGTATAAAAATTTCCTCATCCAAAACATTTGCCACTAATCCTTGAACTAGTCCATTTTCCGCTGATGTGTATGTCCGCAGTAACACGACGCCTGCCCTCAGTGCGGCGCCACATGGTTCTATCATCACATCACCATTCACGCTTCTATCACCAATTTGTAATGTGATTGCCTTGACCGTGTTTGCCGGGACTGATATCCTTCCTCTGGTCTTGGCAAACCTGGCCAACTTGGATCCCCGACCTGGTGTGGTCGATCCGACCATATTTGTAAGAAATTCTGGCAACTGGCCAAGAATATTCATGCCCAACAGGCAAGGTATATTTGACACATTTGTCTCTAGGTTGTGTTTCGTAACGAACACCCCAACCTGCTTCAACCTATGTCCCGCCACCACGACATCCGCCAGAAAATAACCACAGTATGGAATGGTTAGTCCATTAGCTGCCGTCAGGCGCATGCATGTGTCAGACCTCAACCTATGGTCTTTTCCTTTCATCCATTTGGTGTAAAAATTTTCCGTAATTGTCGTCACCTGGGAGCCTGTATCCACAATTGCCTTCACCGCGATGTCCCCAATCGTAATCACCATTTCGGGACAGACTCCCATCATTTTGCTTCTTGGGCCATAACCTCGCCCCTCTGTAGCCTGGCCCTGCCTTACAGAGGACGACCGTTTCCCTGGCAGTACCGTGCCATATGTCCGGGTTGTGAACAGGACAAGCAAATTGGTCGACCGTCAGCCGTCCACCGGAGTGATGGACCGGCGGGTCGCGGCCGTCCAACCTGTCTCTGTTTTGTCCCGTTCTTTTCCTGATTCTCAGCTGTTGACCTGCTTTCTAACCTCTCCAATCTTTGGTCAACCTTATCCAGGTGGGCCAACAGTTGAGCCATCATGGTTTCCACCGTGCCGGTCCCCGTGGGTGGGGATTGTTTCTGTTCCGGCACAGAGACTTTGTCCACCGAACAGTTCGATTGGTCCTCATCCTCGGACCTGCGGATCGCTGAGTTCCTGACCTGAAGGAAGGTCAACTGCGGGTCTTTGTGGACCTCCTCTTTCAACTCTCTCCTTAAGATCGGGGTTGCTAGCCCCTCGATGAAATGGTCCCTCAGTAGGCGTACATCAATGTCAGGTGTTTTGCCCTTTACCGAATCAAAGGCCCTGTTTATTCGGTGTGAATACTCCATCACACTCTCCGCCATTCTCTGCTTTAAGCCTACGAACCCCGATAGCAGTTGCGATCCCGACCGTCTCTCCCCAAAGGTCTCCATAATTAGATCCAACACCTTATCTGGATCTGATTGGACGGTTTTATCGTGGCATTTGACCTCTGCCCTAACCGTCTCTCCTATACTGCCCATCAGCAGTCTTAATCTTTCCTCTGGTGACATGTTTCTCGAGGCCCAGGCCGCTTTGACCTCTTCACTGAACCTGTTGGTTAAAGTTGGATCACCGTCCCCGTAAAATTTGTTAATGTGGGACTCTCTGGGCAGGACCACAATATGGGTCTGCTTCTCGTCCAGAGTAGACATTTTATTCCTTTAGTAAAAAAAAAAGAGTTCTTTCTTACCGTGTGTGTATGAAAAAATTTTTCCTCGTTCCTCAATTTTCACTGTTCCTGAATGTCCGAATTCACACACACACTAAACACAGTTATGAACTAGGTTGACTATGGGTGCCTAAAGCGGCAAGTCTCGTTGAATTCACCCTGGTCGCAGCGCCAAATGTAACGAGTCCCCGAGTCTATCCTGCCGACAACGCCAAATGTAACGAGTCTCTGGCTACCCTGCCGACAACGCCAAATGTGACCTTCCCGAGTCTAACCACTCATTCCACACAACATTGACCACAGCATAGATACTCGAAGATGCAGGTTCATTATTGATCCTTTTATTACATGAATCAAAGAATGTTTCACAATAATATAATGAATCAAGAGAGATGTTTCACAATAATAGTCTGAATCAACGGACCCCCAACAGTCCTCACTAGGCTTCATCTAACTGAATACACATGTCTATCGTCCTTCTTAACACAATACGGCTAACCCGTTCAATAACCAACTTGATACTGCCACACTGACTGACTGATCGAGAGCGAGCGAGAGAGAGAGCCAGAACCCAGCCGTCGCCTCCTATATATCCCCTTCATAATCGTACTCATATTCGGTCCTATCATAATCGTAATCGTAATCGTTGTATCAGAATGTTAATTACGCCGCTTCTGTTGTACAGTCCGATTTAATAAGCCATCTGCATCCTGTCACATCAAAGTTGACAGACCGTCTTTCGTATCGCTTCCCGAGATACTACGCCTTGGCTTTCTGATCGTTATCAGCCACCACCTGTGTTATTACATCAGTCGTGTCAAAGTTGACAGCGCTGTACCGCGTTCTTATGTCTGGTAACTTCCCCTTATTTACATATATATACATATATATATATATATATATATATATATATATATATATATATATATATATATATATATATATATATATATATATATATATATATATATATATATATATATATATATATATATGTACCATTGACAGTCATTGCCTAAACCCAAGAAAATGTCTAAGTCACATTGTATAAGTCCTTCTGTATGGCACGACGTAATCAAATCCTTGAGTTGCCCCGGAACTTTGTCAAAATCATTCTGTTGACAAAACCAAATAAAAATAAACCGGGAGTGGTCTCCCCTAAACTTTCTCGAATATTCTTATATAACTTGAAATATAGACATGATTTTTAATTACTTAAACTTTTAAAAATAGAATAGAATCTCATAGTAAAAATAATTGCGCACCAAGCGAACGCCAAAACAAAATGTGCATAATAGTGCGCAATATTATTAGTACTGTACAAATTTACATACGTTTTTTTAAGAAATCGAAAATAGCGTAAATTAGTACTTCCGGTCAACGGAAATTACTCAAAATTTGAAAGACGGTAGAGAATTAGATCTTTTACTTACATGTAAAATTTCATTTTTCTATCTGAAATAGTACTCAAGTTATAGGCTTTTGAAAAATTCAAAGTTGAAAAAGTACCACTTCCTGTTATCGGAAATCGCTCAAAAGTTTATCAGGATCTACGATTTTGATAAAATACTTATATATGAAATTTCATCAACCTAGCTGTAACGGTACTCAAGTTATCGTTTTTACACACAGACAGACAGACACACAGACATACTGACAAGATTGCAAAATTATGTTTTTCCGTATCAGTGATGTGTAAAACGTCGTTTTTTTTGCACGATTACAAGACTTTCTCTATTCGAGAAAGTAAAAATCAGATCAGCTGTCTTGTAATTCGTTTACCTCTTGCTCTATTTTACATTTCATCATCATCTTTTCCCAAGACACATGGGCTAGACACAGTAGAGTTCATCTGTCTCGATGACCTCGGCATTTGAAGGGGCCCTTCAACTGTGGTCAGCGCCTTACCCTTTCCCTAACGCGATTCAGGTAGCCTTTAGGGCTAGGTGGACTAAGGGGCGTCCTACAGACTCGAACCCAAGATTCGAACTCAAGACTTCCGGTTTAGCAGTTGTTCTCTCTATCACACGACAACGACGCCCTTCCCTATTGCTTTTTTTTTTACATTTACATATCGTTGAATATTTACATGAACTTATGTTTGAACCAACAGGCCCATCTGGTGACTGCGATTACTTGAAATGTATGAGTATGATGAGTAGTATGCCCCAGCAAGAAGGCAAATTTGAAGAAACATGCAAGTACGATGGAATGTTTTTTGTGACCTTTTGAACGTGACATATACTTTTTGAAAAAATTCATTTGATAACAAGTGTTTGTAGTTTTAAAAAAAAATGAAATTCTAAAAAAAAAAAACTAAAACTTACCTTGATTTTAAAATTTTCAGAATTTGAAAAAAAAAAAGAATAAGGTTTTTTTTCTTGGGAAATAAAGCAATCAAAATATGTAAGATTCTCAAACTTGAAAGAATAAAATTTATTCGTTCAAGTTTGAAAATACGTTCACGTCTAGAACTTATCAGTCTGCTGTAAAACTATATTAAACGCTAAAACAGCCACAAATTTAGATCGATTTGAAAATATTTTAAATTTTAAAAAATTCCACAAAAAATGTGGAAAAATGTAACGTTTATAACTTGCAATGAAATTCAATTTAATTTATAGAATAGCAAGACAAGCTGGCCACTGTTTTACGGAACAAAAACTTAAATGTGCTAGCAATCAACAAGCTATAGCCCAGATAGACGCCATCATGCCTGGTATCCAGCAAATACAGGGTAGTTGTAAGTATATTTTTGTGTATTTTAAATATTTATACACGGTACATGGAGTGGCCGAATGGTAGAGCTCTTGACTGCTAAAATGAAAGTCCTGGGTTCGTGTCCAGGGCTCGAGTCTGTAGAGCGTCCAGGGTACCTCACTCTTGTTAGTGAAACAAAGGCATAGTGCTGACCACACTATCCTTTTATATGACTTGGACAGTGAAATAGATCAACTCTATTTTATCTGCCCCTAGTGTATTAGACACTAATGGGGAAAGGTGTTAAGGTCCTTTGTCACAGTAATAAATTCTGTGTAGCTACTGCACCCAAAAGTGTTTCAGTAGAGTGTGTGTAATGCCACATTAGAGCCTGTTATCACATACAGGCAATTATTAACATAGAGTAGTACTTACATAAGATCTTAATTCAGCATCAATTTCTATGAAAAGGCCCAACAGAAAACTCCGGCAAATGCGATATGGTAAAGTTCCAGACCTGCGCCAATAGCACCCAGGCTTTGGCCCTCGGCCAGAGTGAAGACAAAGTTAAAAAAGTTGAAGCTTGCAAGTGAGTAAGCGCCTATTGATTGATCAAAATTTGAATTCTTTTATTGCTGTTCTGTACTTTTTCATTAGATACTACTGGTAATATCTCTAAAGAGATTGAGATGGGTAAAAAGATTAGCAAACTCATAAATACGGAAAATGTTGTATGCTTTGTGTTTAAATTTACAACGTAGATATGTCACTCTAAAAAAAAAGGATTGACCATGTTTAGAATGAGTTATGTCAAATACCTGTTTTTTTTTAAATTTTACTAAAAAATAACAAATTTTGAACATCCTTGGGGATAATTTATGCTTCATCTTTACTTCACCTATGCTTCATCTATGCTTCATCTATGTTTCATCTATGCTTCATCTATGCTTCATCTATGTTTCATCTATGCTTCATCTATGCTTCATCTATGCTTCATCTATGCTTCATCTATGCTTCATCTATGTTTCATCTATGCTTCATCTATGCTTCATCTATGCTTCATCTATGCTTCATCTATGCTTCATCTATGCTTCATCTATGCTTCATCTATGCTTCATCTATGCATCCTAGGTCACTTATGAAGGCTATAGAGTGTATTCAAGATGCTGTCGGTAGTTGTGATATGCCAGCCGTTAAAGCAATGGTCAACCAGTCACTTTCTCACCTGGAAACGTATCAAGCGGCCTGTAAGATGCTTACACACACACACACACACACAAACACACACACATACACACACACAAACACACACACACACTCACAAACACACACACATACACACACACATACACACACACTCACACACATATACACACACATACACTCTCACACACATACACTCTCACACACAGACACTCTCACACACACTCACACACACACATACACTCACACACACACCCACACACACATACACACACAAACATACAAACACACACACAAACACACACACACAGATATATATGTACATATATATATATATATATGTACATATATATATATATATATATATATATATATATATATATATATATATATATATATATATATATATATATATATATATATATATATATATATATATACATATACATATACATACACATACATATACATATATATATATATATATATATATATATATATATATATATATATATATATATATATACAGTTGTTGACTTTTAGCGCCCTAATGGTTTTGTGTCGTGAATCTATTAATATGAAGTGTTGAAAACCTGATTTTATAGACTGAAATAACAAATGACAGTGTACCTCCCTTTTAACCCCTAACTTATTCATTATGTTCAAATTAATAGAATAAATGTATACTTTTTTAGGCAAAACAATTATCGAGGAAGATGAAAAAGATATGAAAAAAAATCAAAAAGAGGAAAAAACTGGTAAATATTACTGATATTTTACATCAAATCTTTTTTTTTAGTTTTGTATTGAACTTTCAGTACTAATAATACAAAAAAAATTATCATGTTTAATTTTTTTTTATAAATAAACATGAATAAATATGCAAATCTCTCTCTCTCTTTCTCTCTTTCTCTCTCTCTTTCTCTCTCTCTATCCCCTCTATCTCTCTCTCTCTCTCTCTCTCTCTCTCTCTCTCTCTCTCTATATATATATATATATATATATATATATATATATATATATATATATACATATAAGCCCTATATATATTATGAATGTTTTATATATATATATATATATATATATATATATATATATATATATATATATATATATATATATATATATATATATATATATATATACATGCATTTAATTATGTATTAATATGTGTGTATGTGTTTAGACATTGTTATAATTTTAGTAATTATGTTTTCACAGGGCAAACAGTTTCCACAGGCGATGGAGGAAATGGCGTCAAGCAGACGACCCAGTCTCCTGTTCTGATTGTGACTTCAACCATTGCACTACTGCTGTTAGCCATATTTAATTATTAACTGTTTTAGTTTTGTTAATGTCTTTTAGCGTTTAAAAACGTTATTTTTTTCTAGCCTTTTTCCCTTTTTAACAGAAAGAGCAGTATTTTAAAGCAATTTTCACTTGTCAGAGTTTTCTTAAAAATGATCCTTACCTTATCAGTTTTAAGAATTAGCCAACGAAAATAATAATAATCATCTTAATACATTTGCTACAATTTGCAATACTTAAGAGTTTTAAAATGTATTAACATGCCTTATTTGTGCTCCTAAAGTGCTCTTTTTTATTTTAATTCAATTTCCTTGATATACACTGAGTTAAAAGCAGCTGTTTATGAAACATGGATATTTTCTTTTATAATAAAACGATACGTTGATAAATATTGCTACGATAAAGGACTTTTACAGACAAAATCCGAAACTAATGTAACAAACAAAAAAATACAATTATAAATCATTCAAAGACAATGATGGTAGAACATTTTAGTATGATGCAAGGATAATTTTAAAACAAAAAGGTTGCAGTCTTTTTTCTTTAACATTGGAAGAGACCAATTAACAAGGCTAACAAGGTGGATGAAAACTTCCAGTGTTGATGATATTAAGTGGCATATCCTGTATAGTTTGGACTTGCTTGGTTTGATATATAATTAGTGTGTATTCGCACAAAGATTGAATAGCAAAATATTTCCTTTTAAAACATTTTGAAATATTTTAGTTGTGACCAAAAAAAAAAAAACATTCATTTAATTTTTTAAAACAACAACACATTTTGGATGTAATTACTGTATGAATTATTTGTTTTGATTTTTATTCAATTCTTCACAAGATAAGCTTATTCTGTAGTTGTTGTTATCACATTTATATTAATGAAAGCTTCACATTTGCTCACCAATATAGCTTTTAAAGCTTGTAAATTTCGTTGATATTTGTCGGAGAATCCAAATGTTCTCGTTTGTAATTAACTTTTGATTAGGTTGCTATCGTAACATCTTTAAACAAACTGTTGCATTTCTCTCAATTTTATTGTTGATATTTCTGTCAACATACTATTCAAGATAAGTCTAGAAAAAAATCTTAAACAAGAGTCTATGTACTATATGTGGATAAAGATCCTAAGATAGAAGTTTAATCTCATGAAATAATACTGCTGAAGAGGATAAAAAAAATTGCTTCTCCTATTTGAAAACAAATGACGTGAAATTTTGTTAAAATTGAATAGTTTACAAGTGTTTGATTTACCTACCGCACAAATTTTAGTAATTATTACTGTTACACAATACAAGGCATTCACATTTGTACGCCAAAATTTATTTAATTAAACGTGTTAGTTGTCATTAGTAAACAAACACGCACGATAAGTAACCTGTGACCATTGAGAGATTAAAGAAAGCTCTTCAGCTTTAAACATTTTTCTAAAGCTTGGTGTTGTTACGTCATTGAAAAAGTTCCTTGTATGTGTATGTGTAGAGTCAACAATATTAAATACATTTTTGGGACGTTTACATTAATAAAAAGTAATTTTGAAATGAAAAAGCCTAATGGTGGATTCCATGATATTGTACTGACCAGAAATGATTTATTTAAAAGAAAGAATTAATGAATGATGTTATACAAATTTGCTCTGAATGGCAACTGGGTTGATAAAAATGTTTAGCTATAAAAGTGCGCTGTTTTTGTGTTGTTTTTTTTTCGTTGCCTTTTGAAAAACCAAGTTATTAAAACTTCCTTAGACATTACAAAATCATTATCAGTGTGAAAGTATGATGTTTATTCACTTACGTTTTGAGTTATATGTCATTGTTAGCGAAAAGAATTAATACTCATTCACATATTTCTATAACAATCAATAAAATATATTTGTATTCATTTTAGCAATAAAATTCTTTTAGACATTTAGAAAATAAATTTCCCCTTTTACGTTTACCTCATGGACAGTTCTTTTAAACTATGCAGTTTTATAAATATATTTATTTTGTCAGTATGAATAAAAATTATAAAAAGTCATGGTTTAATATTATTTTTCTGCTTAGGTGAATGTTTAATTGCTGCATATTTTAAACTGTATTACATTTGTTTTATTAATGATTTATTTATCTTTCAATTTTACAGGCAAATTAGCAGATGTATTCCATGATAATTACGAGTAGATAGATAACTATTGTTTTTTTTATTATCTTAAAATTAAATTACGTTGTGCTATGTTTGATCAGAAAACTTGTGGAAAAAATAATAATTTGAACTTTGACTTGTTATAGTGTCACGTTGTTAGTTTAAAGATTTTAAACTTTCAGTTCATAATGAATTGACACCTTAGGTTAATAGAATAACAAAAAAAAACAATAACAAAATTAAAGTGTAAAAATATACACATTATATGACTAATTTTTTATTTGTATATTTTTAATTTTTAAATAATCAAACTGTTTAGCTAACCGAATTGAGAACTAAACAAATAATATTTTACTTTTTAAAATAAAAAAGTATTAAACATCTAATTAAGCCAACATTTAATGCCAATGTGCAAAGTCATCGGGTCTTCCTCTAAGTGGCAGAAGCACTTTCAAAATTTGCCAGCAAGTTTCGACCCAGGTCAAGACAAGTACAAGGCATGAAGCACAAGAAATAAAGATTAAATCTGGCAATAAAAACAAACCCACAAAAATTAAATTCTTAATTCCGTCACAAAAATAAAATAAAAAATAAAACTGAAAAAAGGGTCATGAAAAAAAGCCACTGTTAAGTGTCACACTTTAAAAAATGTTATAAAAATTCTTTATTCAGTAGGCCTACTCTATAAAACGTTGCGCTTACTAAAATCAATTACTAAACGATTTGTCGTTGATGTAGTAATGTAGTCAGTGGTGCAGAAGGATGCCTAATATAATAGTATATATACGTATATGTATATATATATATATATATACGTATATGTATATATATATATATATATATATATATATATATATATATTTATATATATATATATATATATATATATATATGAAATTTATATATATACGTATATGTATACATATATATATATATATATATATATATATATATATATATATATATTTATATATATATATACATATATATATATATATATATATATATATATATATATATATATATATATTTATACGTATATATATAGGGCCTATATATATATATATATATATATATATATATATATATATATATATATATATATATATATATATATATATATATATATATATATATATATATATATATATATATATTTCACCCCCTCCCCCGCAATGAAAAAATCCTTAATACGCCACTGCACAACTTGTGCGAGTATCGATACAAAAAAAACCCGCGAATACCAACTTAATATCTTACCCTCTCACACGCCCTTTACGCAGCTAATGGGACGTTCAGTAACTAGTTGTGGAGTTGCTTCCCATATAGGTAACAGCGCGTAGCTTAAAATGTCCGCCCGCGCGAAGAAAATGGATATTTCTGTGCAGTTTTTCCTCAATGCATTCTTTGTATTGGGTAAAAAAAATTTTTATTCATTTAATTCATAAAATTAGAGATACATTCAATTATAAAAAAATTCGTAAATTATTGTTAAAAGATACACCTTTTTGCATTGAATAGGATTAAATAAATTGCCATAATTTCCTGTAAAATTTACTTTTTATTGAATATTGTCTCATTATAGCGAATAGAGTGTCTTGTAAGTCATAGACCTATAAAATACGCACAGTAAATGAGTGATTGATTGTCCAATTTGAGCTGTATACATAACTAACGGACCTTTTTGAGCTAGCTCATGCATATGTAATCGTTTAATATAAAACGGAACAAATAAAAAATTAATAAAAACGTTTTAATAACAAGCTTTTATGTAATAATGCACAAAAAAGTAGAAAATAAATGATTTTCTTTAAATATATAATAATCACTATATTATGTATTGGATACTTCTACTAATATTTTGGAAGCGACCCTCGCTTTTCTTTATAGTTAATTAAACAGTATTGTATTATTATATATTTAAAGAAAATCTTTTATTTTCTGCTTTTTAGTGCATTGTTAAATTAAAGCTTGGCATTAAAACGTTTTTTATATTAATTTTTTTTCAGTATTTAAAATTTTTTAATACATTAGAGATGCATGACTAAACACTATTGTGCACCAAATGAACACTATGACGCGCGTATTATAGTGCGGAATAATTGGATAAGTCTGCCTACTAATTTGCACACAATTTTTATTAATTGAAAAAAAATTAATTAGGCATCGAATTAAGTCCTATTTTAGTGTCGGATTACATTGCCTTCATGTCTAGACCCACGTGCCAACTTTGAAAGAATCTGTCAGTTATAAGTGACCGAAATTTAGCTCGAGTGTTTTGATCTATGACGACGAGGACAGACCAATGACAGGGGAGTTAAGTTAAATAAAAGCTTGTAAAAATTAACATTAGATCTAGACACGTTTTCATGTCCTAAATATATAAATTCACTTCACGTAACGTTAAAGAAAGTTTAATATTATTTTTGTTCCTTGTTTAGCTATCTATGAAAAGCGACTAAGTTTCTAGTTGAAGTAGCAGCTTCTTGTAGACACCAAGGCAAAGAAAAGACCATTATATATATGGATGATTATAGTTTCAAAAATGAATGTTAGCTTATGAGTTTCACGGGTTGGACATAAATGATTACACACATACATTTATTTTGATATACGACTAGGATAAGTGGGTGGGTTTTTAAGATAAGGAGATCTCAGACTTCTGTATATAAAAAGTAGATGTTTTTTTAAACATTTCTGTTCAAAACTGTGATGTTAAATGGATCTCCATTCCTTATCTTAATCGTTTTAAAATGTTTCCAAGTCGTGCCACACACTCTTGGGGAAAAGCTCACACACGCCCGTATAAACAACGACCAGGCTGTTTCACAAAGTGGAGATAGATCTTGCAGCGGCCCGCGTACTAACCTGCAAGCTTATATATATATATATATATATATATATATATATATATATATATATATATATATATATATATATATATATATATATATATATATATATATATATATATAGTAACAATCACAAAAACCTTCACACATACTCACAGACACACACACATATATATATATATATATATATATATATATATATATATATATATATATATATTTATGTGAATATGTGTGTGTGAATATGTTTGATTGTCACTATATATATATATATATATATATATATATATATATATATATATATATATATATATATATATATATATGCGTGTGTCTGTTTATACAAGTGTCTCTGACCTAGATAATTCTTTCGTATTTCACATATCAATACCCGCCCCCTCCCTCCCCCCCCCCACCCTCACAAACCACCTTCTTACAACCGTGCGTGTTATCTACCGAGCTGGATGCAGGTGAGCACTCGGGGGAGGGGAGGTGGGGGCGATACGATTATTTTAGGCGTGCATCAGTGCCAGAAAGAAAAGCCGTGTCTTTCACTACTGTTCTTCTAAAGCTCGCATGTATTGAACACTGTATTGTAACAGGTCCGAGAATTTTTATAACGGATTTTAGAATACCACCCATACAAAATCATCAGTTTTTTTAATTGTAGATGAAATTTTAATTTTTAAGTTCTTATTCTCATGTTAAATCTGGTCAGTTACTTTTTCAACAAATCCAATTTTCACATCACATTTAATGTTATGCTATATCGTACATCGTTTTGGACTAGCTTACCCCCCTCCCACCCACACACACACGCACACCACACACTTTTATCCAGTATATTATTTTTTTAAACTATTTTTCCCCCAAATCAATTTCAACTTCTTGACCTTTCTAAATATGTAAATAAATTAACCTCAATGAAATCAATACGATAACAAAAATCAACAAACTATTATTTAAAACTTTTATAATATTTTATTTTAAGTTACTTTGATTGAAACTACATCAATCATGAAAAATATAGAACCGATCCCATGTATAGGGACCATATACACATGATATGGTTCTTAATGCCCGTAAACAGCACAGATCAAGCTTATGTTTATCTACATTAGAACATAACTGTAAGAACTGACCTTGGTAGTGATATATTTAGGTTTTAACTTGGTTAACGTACATTGAGTAGTATAACAACACTTTACAAAAGCTTCACAACTCACCAGAGAACATCAAAACAACATCATCGTCTTTTCCTTTATGTACCCAAGACACATGGGACCGCCATAAAAAGCCCCCCCCCCCCCCACTTTTGTCGGTCACCGATAGTTCACCTGGCAGTCCCCCATGACAGTTCTGCCTCTGTCAGCTGCTTCCCTGCCGTGCTCCTCCACGTCTCCCTTGACCTTCCTTACTCCTCCCCCCCCCCCCCACCCACGACTTGAGGCTTCAAGTATAGCTCCATTCCTACGATATTATTTGGATGCATACTCAAGAAATGCCTTCTTCTTTTTCCATTTATTTCAGAAATTGCTTCCATTTCCAACTCTCCTAGTAATTTATCACAACATATTGCGTTAATTCAAGCTAACATGTACTTAAAAATTAAATATTGAGTTACCTCCATTTTCTTATTACTTCAGGCATGCTTCACACGACTACGGCGTCGTGTACACAAAACGATATTTTGGCCTGCTCTCTAGACGTAATGCAAATACAAGGCAGCAATGATTTGAATTTAGTATGCAAGTAAGTTCTGTTTCGTTTGATTTAATGTCACAACGGTGTTAAACACCAATTTACTATGTGATATTTGATGTGGATGAAAGAGAAATTTTTAAAAATTTTACGTCGATTTATTAATTTAAATGACTATGTTACATTGTGGTAGTGATGTGGATGCGAAAGAAAAATATTTTAAAAGTATTTTCAACGGTATTGGGTATGTTTCATGAGAGAAACCCGATCTACATTGATTTGTGGTATATTTCGTCTTCATAATATAATCCAAAAACAAAATAAATAAAAACGTTACATTAAATCACAACGGCGAAATGCCATTTGGATTTTTAACTTGACTTTTACATTTAAAAAAGAATGGTTATAAATGTTTCATCTGCGTCATTTCCATTTCAAAATGTTCTCTTTCTATCGGTGACTTTAATTTGCTTCACAGGCTTATGACGTATGGAACATAGGGCCTCCACCATTTCTTTCCAATTCACCCGATCCCCGCAGAGGCGTAGCGACCCCTCCCGGCGCCCGGGGACAAACTTTCAATTTGCGCCCCCCACCCCTATATTTTTTATGTTTATAATTCAAAACTGCAGCTAAAATGAGCTTTTAATTTCTTTTTCCAACCCATTTTGGCGCCCCTTGGGTTGGCGCCCGGGAACATATGTACCCCCCCCCCTCCTCCCTCACTACGCCTCTGGATCCCCGGCTATTAATTTTGCCATCTCTCAAGACATCCCTATTGGCTTCAGCTCTTCAAGAAAACTCCGCCACCAGGTCTGTCTTGGGCGTCCTTTCTTCCGCTTTCCCTGGGAGTTCCAGGCAAACATTTTCATTTATTATTATGAGCCGGCCCGCGGCATAACATACCCCGCTATTTAGTTGTTGTTTTTTCTACTTTTCAGTAATTCATAATTTGTGAATTCGACAGTACCAACGCTGACACTGAAAATATTTCTTTAAAACACTATAAGTAGCTCGTTAAGGACCATAACGCCCCCCCCCTTTCTTCCCACCCCCCCCCCCCCCCCCCCAACGTTTAAAATCGTTTCAAACTAAATTATCTGCCCCTAATAGCCGTCACTAAACCCGACTCCACGAAGGTAAACATAGCGTGAACCACAGCTCACTAAGACCATGTAGCGGTGGGGATGGTAGGGAGCGCGTTTACAGCTTGTTTTCTAGCGTCTCCCAGAAGAGAATTATATATATATAGATATTTTACGCTCCTGGCATTTCCCACCCCTTGGTCTAGTCTTGGCATCAGTAAAGTTTACTTTTTTACACCCCAAGACTCAGTGCAGAAGCCAGGAATTGTTTGATGGCTCTACAAGTAACGTGCGATGAAGATGTGAAGAGCGTCATTGAGATGGGATTGTCACATCTGAACAGAGTACTCGATAGCTGTAAGTAAAGAATGAAAACCGTGTTTTAAATTGATCGAATCTTCTCTTGCGAATGCATAAGTTCAACTTAAGATTGGGAAGTCGTAGTGTGGTATTGTACCAACTTCTAATTTACAGTATATGTTACGCTTTGAAGTTCCCTTTCAGGAACATGAGTTAAGAGGACATTTGTTTCTTTCATCATGAAGGATTTGCCTAGGCTAGACTAGAGTCTTTTACGTATACTAATTGGGTGTATTATGGACTAGAGTCTTTTACGTATACTAGTTGTGTGTATTATGGACTAGAGTCTTTTACGTATACTAATTGGGTGTATTATGGACAAGAGTCTTTTACGTATACTAGTTGTGTGTATTATGGACTAGAGTCTTTTACGTATACTAATTGGGTGTATTATGGACAAGAGTCTTTTACGTATACAAGTTGTGTGTATTATGGACTAGAGTCTTTTACGTATACAAGTTGTGTGTATTATGGACTAGAGTCTTTTACGTATACTAGTTGGCTGTATTATGGACTAGAGTCTTTTACGTATACTAGTTGGGTGTATTATGGACTAGAGTCTTTTACGTATACTAGTTGGCTGTATTATGGACTAGAGTTTTTTACGTATATTATTAGGATGTATTATGGACTAGAGGCTCTCACAAATAATGGTTGGGTGTATTATGGACGACCTAGAGCATTGAGATTGTGATCCATCCATACACGAGACTTACACAGACAAAAACACACACACGCACGCGCACAGACAGACAGACAGACAGACAGACAGACAGACAGACAGACAGACAGACAGACAGACAGACAGACAGACAGACAGACAGACAGACAGACAGACAGACAGACAGACAGACAGACAGACAGACAGACAGACAGACAGACAGACAGACAGACAGACAGACAGACAGACAGACAGACAGACAGACAGACAGACAGATAAACAGACAGACAGACAGACAGACAGACAGACAGACAGACAGACAGACAGACAGACAGACAGACAAACAGACAGACAGACAGACAGACAGACAGACAGACAGACAGACAGACAGACAGACAGACAGACAGACAGACAGACAGACAGACAGACAGACAGACAGACAGACAGACAGACAGACAGAATCGCAAACTGGCAAGTATAAACAGAGTAATATTTTTAAAATATGACCATGGGAAGGCGTTTCATAAGCGGTAGAGCGCTAGGCTGCAAACCCGAAGAATCCGGGTTCAAGTCAGTTGAACGTCCCAGAGTACACCCAGCTCTGATGGGTACCTAACTCATGTTAGGGAAAGTGAAGGCGGCTGGGCAAAGTGCTGACCACACCTTCCTTTTTATGCCGAGGTCAAGAAACATGAACTCCACTACGTCTGCCCAATGGATTGCTAGGTCTAAAGAGGATTCTTCACTTTACTTTATACTAACTTATTTCTTCTCCTCTCTTAAACGGTCGTTACCGGCTCAAGCTAATGCTCATTAACCAGGCAGACTACATCAGTGTTAAGAATCGAGCATTTCTCTCACCCATATTCCAAACCGCCAGACACGTGGGTTTCCGCCAGGCTTTTTCTTCCCCCCCCCCCCCCCCCCAGCGCATCTCACCAACACTAACTTACTAAAATGCTGTATCAACAGGTCCATCAAAAGATTCCGGTAAATGCGACCTGGCCAAGTTCACGTCCTGCAGCAATAATTCCCAAGTTTTATCCATCGCTCAGCGTAAAGACAAGGTTACAAATGTTGAAAACTGCAAGTGAGTTTGCGCCAATTTTTGTACTTAAAATTATTATCTACTATAGTTTTTCCCCTTGATAAAGTATTGGTAAAAGCTCAAAAACGCAATATAGAAAAGTAAAATAGTTAACGAACACTTTAAAAGAAAATTAAGTTTTTTCGTTACATTGTTGGAAAATCATAATGCAGACTTGTCCAACTATTTAAAAAAATTGTATGCACCTCCTTAGAATTTATTGTTTAAAAATATTAGCATCTGTGTTTTTTTCTTAAGACATTAAATTTTTAGCTCAATTGGACTAATTTACACGCTATCATCTATCCAAGGTCACTTACAATGGCTGTTGAATGTATGCAAGACTTTATCGGTAGCTGCGACGTGCCAGGAATTCAAACAACGGTTAACCAGACACTTTCGCACATGGCAGCGTATTATGCAGCATGTAATATAGCCTATATATATATATATATATATATATATATATATATATATATATATATATATATATATATATATATATATATATATATATATATATATATATATATATTGTTAAAATATTTGTGAAATGTGACTGTGAAGGACAATAATTGTAGTTTACATATTTCTATGTGTGTGCTATACATTTAACGAATATTCCATCCAATAATTTTACTCTGGTATTGTAACCCTCTCTCTCTCTCTCTTCCAGCACACTTTTCACACAGATCAAGTCGTTTTATGAAACCTCTAATTCATAAACCTCCAATTCATCATGTTCGTATCTCAACAAAAATCTAAATCCCAACATGATTTAGACTGTTGTAATCATGACTTAAATGTTATCAATAGCCAAGAGAGGATTTTGCATCATTAAATTGTCCTATTTCGTTATAAAGAATATTAATATAAATTTGCCAATTTTTACAGGTAAAACCTTAATCGAGAATGAGGAAAAACAGAAACAAGAAAAAGAAAAGCATTCAAATGACCCTCAAGCAAGTGGTTAGTATTTCAAAATTAAAACTGAATATTTTAAATTAAACTATTTTTAATTTGTGTCAACAATTTTTATTGCTTTTATTTATCATCTTTAAAATGATCAAATAGGAAAATTTCTATACGAAAGAAATAGTTACCTATTTTAACATTCAAACATATACGCAGCTAATTAAAGGATCTTTGTTTCAATAAAAAAATACGTTTTTAAAATACTAACATGAACGAAATTAGATGTAGCTTTCGTCATCCACTTTGTTTTGCAGAACCTATTTATCTTTAGACTTTGGCACAAACGTTTAAACATGTAACTTTCTAAACATTTTTGAAGCATAACTGTGAAATTTAATTGTCTAGCATTCCAACTTTCACTCTATCTCTCTCTCTCTTTCTTTCTTTCTCTCTCTCTCTCTTTCTTTCTTTCTCTCTCTCTCTCTCTCTCCCTTTTTCTATATTGTTCTTTCTTTCTTTATATATTTTGATACATTTTTATTTACACTCACACTCATATATATATATATATATATATATATATATATATATATATATATATATATATATGTATATATATATATATATATATGCATATATATAATTTGTATAGTTTCTTCAAATTATACTTTTTTTACACTTAAAAAGTTTCCGCAGACCACGGAGAAAATGGCGTCATGCAAACGACCCAATCACCGGTCCTCATTGTGACGTCTGGTATTGCTTTGCTGCTGCGAGCCAAATTTAATAATTAACTAAAGATTAGTCAATATGTATTACATTAAGCGCACTGTTTAATTCTTTGGAATGATCAGAATGTGTACGAAAGGTGTGCTTACCCTTGCAGTTTTAAGAATAAGCCAATGAGAAAAAACTAAATTGTAAAATTATATGAGCTGTTTCAAGTACCACTATATGCCTTATTTTATTGGAAATGTTAATGTTCTTGTTATACACTGAAATTAGTGCAGCTACTAAGGATTAATGGATAATGTCAAGGCTACACTGAAAATCCTTGATAGGATACAGGAAATTTACTAAATAAAACAGTAGTACTTATTTAAATACGATACAACGACAAATCAACATATTAAGATCTTTTATGGAGAATTATTCTGGAATTATTTCTATCACTATAGAATCATGATTTCGTTACAATTTTTCTTCTTCTACATTCTTAATTAAAATAGTGGATGAGATAAAACAAGTCCTACATCGTTCCAGCAGTGACGAACTTCGGCCATTAGTTCTTTATACTATGAACTTTCATTAGTATAATATAAGTATAGCCGGTATGTACACATTGATCAAGCCTTCTTGAACAACAGAATAACAGAATAAAAGAAATTGGATACACGACAAAAAAGATGTTTATATCCATATAAAATCTTTTGTTAATTGCCTTAATAATGTTTTTATTTTTATGTACTATACTCGATTCTTTACAATATACAGAAAATTGTGTATTCTTGATGTCAATTCTATCTATATACTACTAAAACTCAAGTTTGTTTACATGTTTGTATATTTATTTGTATTTTTGCTTTTTTTTAGTATGTCTGTTTGGTTACAGGAGAGAATCTGCACTGTGTGTAGAGCTGTAAAATACGTATTTAGGTAGAGAACATTGTTCTTTTTGACCAAACTGTTAATCACAAATTAATTTAAAGACGTTTATTAATTTATTGATATACCATCGGAAGATTAATCGCTTTAATTATAAAAGTTCAGAACAATAACTTTACTTATACTTAGCTTCAAAGATCATCTATATATATATATCTAGGTTCTAGATCTAGAGTTACGGAAAAACTAAACTTAAGACCTAGATCTAGATCTATCTAGATCTAGAATTAGTAGAATCTATGCCACTAATGGTTTTCTATACTAAACTATACAGGCTTTAATTATTTTATATACATTTTTGTTTGTTTAGCTATGGAATTGGCTAAATTGGGATATAATTTGAAATAATAGGGCCTATTCGCGTAACTGAAGTTTCTTACTTTGCAGTTAATTATAGGACTAAGTCTGCAATAGTTTGTAAATGCCCACATAGGTAAGATGATAGTGTAATAGTTACAATGCGGGTGGTACGGGTTCGAGACCCATAAAAAAATGTTTTCAATTTTTTTTGTAGATGTGAATGATAAAGTTGTCTATCGGGACTTTGCGGGACACAGGGCAGTTGAAGTGGAGTTGACCTGTTTTTGTGGCCTCAGCATATGAAGGGATAGTGTGGTCAGATCCATGCTCAGTGTTTTAAAAGACAAAAACGTCTGAGGTGTGACGTCTTTTTGAATGTGGTGTTTGGTTTTTTTGTGACGATAAGTGACATACGTGATGTCATTTATGAATGACCCCCGAAACCCACAGTTATCCAAAGGATGATGGGTGGTCTAGTAATATATACTTTGAAAGCATAATTTTCCATTGACTTAGCTTTTATAAGGCGATTAGTTTTTGATCATGTATGTTTAAGAATCGAATCTCACACATTTTACTGTTGAGTACAGTTTAGTTTTGCAGGGTATTAAAGTTTTTATGACATAAATCAAATGTATCACAAATACGATATATTATATTTTGACCAAAGGGAAGTTATCACGAGCTCTTTAGTTCTTAACATTTATCTAGGGCTTGGTGTTGTTATGCCATTGAAAAGCTCAATATATGGGTGAGTTTAGTGTCACCAATATCACATTAATATGTTGATGTTTACATATATTCACTAATTGTCAATTTTAGGAAAAAACCGGTTCTAAGTTATTCCTACGTTTTCTAAAAAAGATGTTTTAATTAGCAATTTGTTATATTAAACAAGTGTCTTATTATAAAGTATGTTGGTTTGTATTGTCATTGGAAAATCCAAGATATTAATAAAAATCAAATACATTAGATGTTTGATATCAGTGTGAATGTTTCGTACTTTACATTTTCGTGTTCAAGAATAATACTCTACCCCCCTCCTTCTGCATACGCTACTTGTTATTTAGCTTAAGATATTTATTTTAAATTAAATTTTAATTACTCAAATGAAAAAAAAATGCAATGATGATTTATCTTTGAATCATTTAGTGATCGGATCTCTTCCGAAGAGCCTGGTACGTCGGACAGCAGCTAGAGGTTTTTGATCTGGCCGAACGCCCCCTACGACCAAGCTGGGTACCAAGCGGTAGGACGACGTCCCGCGTCTGGTGGGTGGGGAAGGAACGCCCGGTGAGAGCCGACGGAAGTAGCGACCGATGTGTGGGAAACTCTTGTGGTCGGGGTTTGCTACACTGAGGCCTGCCTGGCTAATGGGAGCTCAACTCCTGAGCCGGTTTCCGTATAAGGAAGGAAGGAAGAAGTGATCGGATCTATGACCAGTGCTGGAATTTATTTAGCGCCCTAGGCAAAACTTATTAAAGCGCCCCCCCCCCCCGCAATTCTTTTCGCGCCCCCGTATTATTAGAGGCTTAGCGACCCTTCCCGGCGCCCGGGGACAAAATTTCGATTTGCACCCCCCCCCCTCAAACTTTCGATTTGCACAACCCCCCTCAAACTTTCAATTTTTTTCCCCAACTTATTCTGGTGCCCCCCTAGTGACAGCGCCCTAGGCGACCGCCTAGTTCGCCTTATAGGTAGCGCCGGCCCTGTATATGAACGACCCAGAGATTTACTTGGGGTGGCCTGCTCTCTCTCTCTCTCTCTCTCTCTCTCTCTCTCTCTCTCTCTCTCTCTCTCTCTCTCTCTCTATCTTACACTGCACGCATCGGCTGAGCGGCTAATGGGAGGCTCCTTCAATAGATGCGCAGTTGCTTCCACTGATTGTAAGATCGCATAGCGTAAAGGAACTCACATAACAGGAGATAGGGCGGACAAAGAAGATGAATATTTCTGCGCAGTTTTTACTTTGTGCTTTCTTTGTATTGGGTAAAAATATTATCATTTTATTCTTTCAAATTATAAAATCTGAAATGTGCTCTGTCATAAAACAATTAGTAATTAGATTTTTAGTTTATACCAGTTTTAGTGACCAAACTTGTAAAAAAAATGTTCATTTTTCCATGCAATGTTTTTTAATCAAATCTTATACGTCGAAACAGAGGCGTAGCGACCCTTCCCGTCGCTCGGGGCGAACTTTCAATATGGCGCCCCCCCCATATATATATATATATATATATATATATATATATATATATATATATATGTGTGTGTGTGTATATATATAGGCCATATATATATAAATATAAAAATAAAAATAAATAAATATATATATATATATATATACGTATATATATATGTATGTGTGCGTATATATTATATATAAATACATTGATATATATATATATATATATATATATATATATATATATATATATATATCTGTGTGTGTGCATAATCGTGTGTATAAGCGTGTGTGTGTAAGCGTGTATGTGTGTGTGTAAGCGTGTGTGCGACAGTCCTGAAAAGGTTTTATAATTACAGCATATGATTTTCGTTCCTTAAAACTTTATTCTACGCCAATTAAATTCCCATTAAGATGCATTTTCCTGTTACGAAAGATTAGTATTGTCAGTAAAAAAAAAATATGCCTGATCTGAGTTAGAGGGTGGTTTGTAGCAAGCGCTAATTTGTTTAGACCAGCCTTTTATGTTATAAGTTGGGAACGATCTCAGTTGTGATATGGTATATAGTTGGATTATAAGCTTATTAGAATAAGGACATACAAGTGGCGTACAATAGTAACTTATCATAAACATATATTGTTTGCTTCGGAATACATGGCTATTTCGCTGACTCGTTGATGGTATAACAAACAAGCTAGAGAACACAATTTGAAATCCAACTGGAAGACAATGTGGAATTCAAATGCATTGTCAAAAAAAATCAATCAGGATCTATAGCTTAATGTGAGGTCTCTTTTACTGCTTGGCTCGGGGCTAGATTATAGACAGTGGCCAATGAAATAAGAGCATGGAAAAAGACAGTAAATGGCATCACTAAGCAGGTGCTGTAGTAAAGTCCACGAGAAAAGAGAAAGAGAGGGAGACAAATTATGTCTGAAGAAAATAGTTTGGTATAGAGATGTCGGAGACTGGATTAATAGGGTTCTACCTTTATAAAATCAAGTGAGTTGACGAAGTGTTGCCTACGTCCTACGCCTATGCTCCTTAAGAAACCGAATCGAAAAAAAAAAGCTTAGAGCAGTTGTTCTTAACCTGGGTTCGATCGTACCAAAGAGGTGGTATGTAAGTATCAGAGCCTCGGCGGATGTCAAGACATACACATGATATATAATTCACGATCAGATTTTGCCAATGCGGACGATAAAACTATTAAGAAGGATTCGGTGAAGGCGCATATGAAACTGGTAGGGTTCGGTACCTCCATAAAGGTTAAGAACCACAGCTTTAGAGTGTAGTTTGTATACGGTGCAAGCTTACATGGTCTACTTCTGGTTGTGTCTTTAGAACAATTTTTATAATAGTGTATTATAGTTTTAAATTAACAGATTGAATAAAGTGACAAAACATCATCTGTTGTCGTGTTGTACCATTGTTTTACATCGTTTAGTAGGTCTAGTTGCCTAACTATATGAAAATTGCAGTATTAAGACTTGTTATGAAACAAGCAATAAAACAATGATCTTTTCGGTACAATGTACTTATATTTTTAGTTCTTAAAATTTCGACAAGAGTATCGTCTTCCACCCCCTTTGCTGCGACCGTATGCTACTTTACTGATCGGATAGTGATTCAACAATCAGTGATATTTAGTTCTCTTTAATACAGTGATCCAGGCAAGATGTAATGCTATCAAGTAAAAGTATCTGATCTCTCACGTTGAAGTTGAGAGAATCGTAAGAATTAGTCTCGTCGTTTCTTAACAAAACTGGCTAGTAAAATTGTACATTACGCGTTAATACAATTGGTTTCTTTTCTAAACAGTTATCTACTCACCAATCCAGAACAAATACTTGCGATTTTTGTTCCCGAAAAAAGCGCCCGCCCCCCTCACACACATACACACACCTCCCAACCATTTTGAAACAAAGTTTGTAAAGCTGGTTTTAACGTAACTTACTTTTTGAAACATGTTACACAATCGTTCAATGCACTTTAGCACAATTAATGTCTTTTCTAAGTGCTAAATGTGTTTTCTCTAAAATCCAGGGGAAAATTTGCGATTTTATTGTGTCTAAAAGTGCCCTTTTGGCGCCCCCTAGGATCGCCCCCCCCCCCCCCACTAGCTATGTCTCTGCGTCGAAAACGTAGCGTTTAATCTGTTAAGGAAGAGAAACAGAGAACTCTGTAGAATTGAAAAAGTGGTTTTTAAAATGAGTATTTTCTGTTTTTACACGCTTTTGTTTAACTTGCTCGATTTGCCTATCTGTCTTTCTAGATCGAAACGGGCCAGCGAAATTTCGAACACTTCTAACCAACCAATTTCTCTGAAATTCGGCCCGTAGGTTAAACCATGATGAAAATGCAATCTGACATCAAATTTGACTTAATTGGATGACTAATTAATTTTACTGAAGTATTCTGTCTTCTCCTACTATTACGCGCTATTATACGCGCACTATTATGTTCATTTGGTGCGCAATACTTTTTTAGTAATGCAAATCTACTGTATTAGAAAAATTAAAGTACTAAAAAAATGCAGTTGAATAAAGCAAGGTTAGTTTTCCAGTTTCTCCATACATATTATGTGTGATAATCGTGCTCAAATAAATAGCTATAAATAGCTGGTATCGATATTAGGTTAAAATTATAAAGCACTGTGTCGAAGAGTTGAGGTTGGCACGACTTTCTTCTATTAGATGATTAGCATATATTATGGCGTATCCATATTGCCCAAAAGTTTACATAACTGTACTGCACAAGTAACTGTTGTTGGTTGTTGTTTTTTAATCAGAACCTGTCTGTGTTGGTATTTGCCTGTCTTTGTGATAATAAATACAGTTTGTTTAATTATATTTATTAATTTCGCATTATCGATTCTTGGATTAGAAGCATAGATATATTTATTGAACAGCAAATAGTGTTGCAGTTTTGTTTCAATCCTGAATATATTTTTACAATAACATCGTTGATTTTTAATTATGAAATTCCAACTATGTACTGGGATTACTCTAAAAATGTAATATATTTTCTTCAATAGAATATTAAAATCGTACGTATACTTTTAGAATATTTTTCTGATTATATTTCCTATTAAAAAGAAAATAAATCTGTTTGGTATGTTTATCTAATTTTGAATGCTAATTAAATACGCGAATGATACGATTAATTGTATGCTTGTAAACAAATACCACTATTTGATATTGCCTCACAACTTCGGCACATCTAACAGGGAGTAACTGATTTAATGACCTTATGTCACGGTGACATTGTTAATATAGGATCTATATAGCGGGGAAGTTAGTGGAGTCCTGGGAAAAAAGCTACCCTTTTAAATCTGACTGTTAATTCGGCAGTTGAGAGAGTCCGCCAGATTCTGCGACCTGTGTGCGGAGGTTTTTTTAAAAACATTTTTCTCCTAGTGCGATCATATTAAAAGTAGATTTGTATAGCACGCTTTTCATAATTTGGCTACAATAAGGTTTATGCTCAATCAAGTTTGTAATCGGCGAAGTTTACCAATCAAAACGTATTTATAAATCAAGCAGAATAATTTTGTCAGTACTGTGACATCGGTTTATATATAAATTAATATACATAATTTTTTTGAATTTAGGAAATCTATATGGAAATTTATAATATTAACAATTTTTTCCTGCAAACGACGTTCGAGCTAGTGGCTTTCTGTCATTTGTCACTTTGGGGAAATTGCACACTTTTGCTAGTACTTGTCGAACGTTTATCGTGGACACAAAAAGTCTTGAGGTCAATAATCAATTTCAAGGTCGCACAAAAATAGGAACTAAAAGCATTGCTTGAAGAGTGAATAACTACGTTTGACACATTCTAAGTAACCAAGCAATACAAATCCACAAATGTTAATGTAAAAGTCTGGCATACATTTACTGTCACAAATAAAAAGGATGGAAAAACTAGAAGGAAATTCGGATATTTTAAATTGAAAAAAAAACATGTTGCTATTTGTTGCCAAATATATTAGGATTATGATGTCAATTTTTATAGGCAATCCCATCAGCGGGATAGATGAAAAACAAAAACAAAAAAAACAGGAAATTGGAAAACAAGCAAATGGTAAGCATGATTTTAAAGTTTAAAAAATACTAGACTACCCGTTATCAATGGATAACTGGGTTTCGGTGGTCATCACGTTTATTTGACGATTTTTAATAGGGTCATAGAAATGGTAATTTAAACACATACAATATTTTCCCCTCTAAGTTATTATTTCCGTAATACAAAAATTGGCAGTGCAAGTGATTGTGTAATGAGCCTATCTCCTTAAATGGCATTATATGTAAAAATGTGAATTCATTCAATGGAACTAGTTTGTTTATGTATGCAAAAACTATACTAAACTTGACCAAATATAAACTGAAAGATTAGACACATTTGTATAGCCAGCCAGCCAGACAGCCTGTCTGCCTGTCCTGTCCTGTCTGTCTGCCTGTCTGCCTGTCTGCCTATCTGCCTATCTGTCTGTCTTTCTGTCTTTCTGTCTTTCTGTCTCTCTGTCTTTCTGTCTGTCTGTCCTGTCCTGTCTGTCTGTCTGCCTGTCTGCCTGTCTGTCTGTCTATTTCTCTTTTTCTGACTGTCTGTTTCTTTTTTCTGTCAGTATGTTTGAATATATATATATATATCTATCTATCTATATATATATATATATATATATATATATATATATATATATATATATATATATATACTGATGAAGATACTGATCTCATAGTCTCGGGCTTTTATATATTAAGATGAACACAATAAATCTTTAATACAAAAATACCTAGGCATTATAAAATATGATTTCAAAAGTCTTTTTTTTAAACTGTCATAACGAGGGATTTTGAAAGAAAATCGCGCCTAATAAACTTCTTAGATAGCACGGTACAATTTAAATGCTTGGATCGCAACTGAAGATTTCAAGGGCAACAAGTTCTCATTGTTCCAAGTAATGAATGATCATGGAGACATGAAATACAATGCTTGCGCTCTACCTTTAATTCCCGAACTTTCCTTTATTTGGGCAACATTCTGGCTTGAAGGGCCAAAGATAGAAAACTAATGCTAATCTTTAGGCAAAAAAAAAGTCTTATCTGAATATTTACAACATCGAAATCAACACAATAGTAAATAAACTCACCGAAATTTAAAAATCGCTATACCCTAGCAGTAGTCCATACCCTAACATTAACTATTATAACCCCTTTACCATATGGTGGTTCGAAAGGCTTAAGGACACTAAAGTACGTCACGAGATATTGAGAGAAAGTTCTGCCATGTTAATATCTTTTTAATTACCTCTATTCATTATTATTGTAGGTGAGCTTGGTACAACAGGGTTGTGCAGTCCAGTATTTTTGGGAATTTGTAATCAAGGGATGGCAAATATTAAGCTTGAAGATGAATATTCGATTACGAATTGCCAGTAAGTGCTCTCTTATCTTGAAAAATAATAGTTGTGGTATGATATGAATTTCAATGAAAAAAAAATCAGAAATATTATAACCTACTTTATATCGTAATATTAATTGTATTGGCCATTGAAGAGGCGCCTATTCATTACTGTGGACGTGATCAAAATCGTCCTTTTGTGCATTTCTTCTTGTAAGTTGCTGAAAAGTGATATAATACTGAAATGATTAAGGTATTACAATTTTATCAAGTATCTAAGTATTCTTGGTAAAGCAGAAAACTTAAAAACTTTTGGCAAGTTTAAGCTCAGGGGTATGACTACGACGATATTTAGTAGGAATGTGCAGTAACTACGTGTAGGTTAAGATTAAATCCGATTAAAATGCTGTTTCTGAATAAAAATCCGCTTTTAATTACATTTTTGTTTCCATTTAAATTTGAAGTGGAGGTGGTGATTTTGGTTTTGGATTCGATTTACAAAAAAAAAAGACAACACTATCAAACTAGCTCAAGTTGTATTTTTCCCTCAACGGGCCATTTATCTCGTATAATAAAAGTTGTATTTGTCTATCTTAAATTGTAACAATCCGTGTAGACTCTCAAAGTGACATAGCATCCTAAAAATTAATAATTCTTGTGTTCCTCATTGGATTTCCTTAAACACTATTAAGTATACGTATTAACTTGTTACGCGACCTCGATTTTGTCAAGCTTTACATTTTGGATTCGCTTCCATAGCCTTTATCCAACCAATAACAAGCTAAAAGGTAGCAGTTGTTTAATTTTGGAGTTGTCTCTCCTAGAAGATTTTCTGTCCCCTGCTATCGAGCCTAATCTGTCCGAAGGTTCGAACTCGATACTTAGCGGTTTAGCAAACATGAGTTGTACCTACTCTACCACGCCGCCCTAAAAAAAGTTTCATTTTAACAATAACAAACTTTTATATACCACATATCGCTCCCGTCTTTGCACTGGATACACCTCTGACTCTCCTTTAACAAATGAGCGTTTGAGGACAACTCCATTATAATTTGTAAGATATAATACAAAGCAGTCTTGGGAAAAAAATTGAATTATATAAATTTTAAACGAGCTTAAAATCTGAAACCGTCGGCTAGTAAAAATAAAGTGTTCTTTGCCTTGCAGATATTTTAACTGGATAAATACTTATAGAAACAAAGTTTGTTGTTTTCAAAATTTTGAATGGAAAGTTCCCCACACCTCAATCAAAATATTCTCTTTCACTAATGCAACTATTTTTGTACAAGACAGTATCAAGAAAACCACGACTGTTTGAAAATAATACAACCTTCATGCGATAAGAAAACAAAAGAATCTGTAGACATGACATTGTCATCAATAGAAACTAAACTCTACGGATGTGAGACAAATCGAC